TCGACGGACGACAATGGCTCAGCCTCGGCAGTCAGTTGGAGGAGCTTCTTTACCGCTACCTCGGCATCAATTTCAAGAAGGAAGCAAACTACTCGGTATCAGCGGTAGGTTGTGTCTTACCTCCAGAAGACAGTTGGAAAGAACTTCTCAGTAGCCTTCTCAGCCACGAGCTCAGCATCAACCTCCTGAAGAGTTTGATCAAAGCTCTTCTTGGCGATTGGCACCTCGAAGTTTTGAAAGCAAGGATTGAAAGCAAGAATCTGGGAAAAGACACAGAAAACAGAAACAACAGTTGGAAAGAACTTCTCAGCAGCCTTCTCAACCACGAGCTCAGCATCAACCTCCTGAAGAGTTTGATCAAAGCTCTTCTTGGCGATTGGCACCTCGGCGTTTTGAAAGCAAGGATTGAAAGCAAGAATTTGGAAAAAGACACAGAAAACAGAAACATGAATGTAATTCGTAATCAAGAATGATGATCAAGCTATCAAGAAATCAAGACAAAAAGATTACACAAGTATGTCAAGCCAAGGACAGTGGTAGATATCAACAGATGTGTGAACAGTGTGTATTCAAGAAGATGATTTGGAAATAACGGGTAAGACAAGCAATGGTGATTAACAATGAAGCAGAGCTTCTTGGAAAGCAACAAGAAATAAAACCAGGAGGAACAGTGGCTTACCAGAAAGAGGGAAGCCGGAACGAGAATTGCCAAAGTCTGACGACAATGACAGAATGACGTAAAGCTTCACCGGAGGAGAGAAACGAAGACAGTTGCAGAAGCTTGAATGCTTGGAACAAATGACAGATTTAAGCAAAAGAGATAGAAAGAGAAAAAACCAGAGGATTGAATGAAAAAACAGAAGTCAAGAAGATGACAAAATTCAAAGAATAATGAACCAGACATGATACTAGCAACAGAAAGCGGATATGACAAGAACAGTACCAGGCATTCAAACAAATTCAAAACTTGAAGACAGACGAAAATAGAAGGCAACAAATGGCAAGTAAACAGATTCAGAAGAGTTATGAAAGATTGAAGCTTAATAGCAAGTAAAAAGTTTACGAACCTACAAAGTGAAATGAACGTCGATATGAAAATCGTCGAAGTCAAATAGATGACTGGAAATCGGGAACTCACTAGAGAGTGTGAGTGGAGCAGTTACAAAGCTCTTGGAGTTTACGAATTAATGGAACCAAAACCTCGGCTAGGAGGTACGATTTCAAGCAGCTTGGAAAGCATGAAACTTAATTCTTGACACCAGTGGACAGTAAAGTCCAGGGAACCTTGAGGTCGGTGAGTTTGATCTCGGATAGAAACAGAGGCAGTCTGGGGTAGACAGAGCAGCTTTCAGGCGATGCACATGCAACCTCCATCCATCTTCCTTGATATCCATATCCAATGCGTTGCTACTTAATTATTTCAATAGCATAGCAAATTGTGTTGTAATATTTAATTAGTCAAAATTAGTTGAAGCTAATTAGTTGATGTTGTAATATTTAATTAGCTTAGCCTAGTTAATTCATTAATTAGCTTAGATAGTTAGTTAGTTTTCATTTCAAGTGTTGTAATACATTAGTTAATTAGCTTAGTTAGCATAGCTAGTTAGCCCTTATTCATTCGGACCCTCCTTCGCGTGGGCATAATGTTGTAATAAGTGTGTGTGTGTGTGTGTGTGTGTGTGCATGTTTTCCAACCCCACGTCTTTCTCCGTTTTATTTAATCGCTTTTGATGGTTAGATTAGGGTCATATTTTTTATTAGCATATCGCATGCTTGCATCCATTCATTTGTATTGCATGCACCGAGGCTCAATACATCATTCAAATTGCATTGTCATTTTAATACTTCGTTGAATACTTGTTAAATCGCATGTTATGTACATCGATCCATATGCCATTTCAGTAGCGAAGACTATTAATTGCATATTGCATGTGTTGCATTAGGCATCTTGTATAGTTAGGAATCATGCATTTTTTCTAACTGTCTTATCTTGGCTTGGAGTATTAGGTAAGTTTTTAAATGCTTTAACATACTTGCATGAATGTGAATGTTGCCATATTTAGCATACTTGACATGAGGCTAGGTGCTTAAATGCTAAACTACTTGAATGCCTGTGGATGAAGACTTGTTGTTTGAATTGGAACGATTCAACGAATGTACGTTTTTTTAAGCCCACTTTGTTAAGTGGAAAATTATGTTTTAAACCCGCTATATTTGGTGGCAAATTCACATCCTTTAAGCCCATTTGAGATGGCAAATTCAAACCATTTTTACAAACAAACCTGATATTGAATTGTTCCAATTCTTGCAATTTTAGTCTATACTTGTTTGCGTGCATCACGTAGTAATGCTAGCTTAATAAACAGAATAAGAGCACATAATGTTTATAAAAATCATATCATGATTAGAGATGGCAATTTAAACCCGGCCCGATGGGGACCCGATCCCCTAACCCCGATTGGAACGGTTTTTCCCTGAAATTTATCCCTATAGGGCCGGAGATGGTATTAAAAATCTGATCCCCAATGATTTTCGAGCCGAGGACGGGGATAGATTTCCCAACCCCAGCCCCGGCCCGGCCCCGCCTTGACTGATCCCCGACTGACCCCTCCGTATAATTATTATAATATATATATATTATATGTTTAGGGTTAGGGTTATTATAATATATATATTATATTATATGTTTAGGACCTCTGGATAGACTCAGACTCATTTTTGTCTGTCTGTCTCTCATCTCTCTCTCTCTTTCTCTCTCTCTCTAAGCCTCTCCTCCCTCCGATCTCCCTCCTTTCCTCCGATCTTCATCACTGCCTCACGCCGATCTCCCTCCCTCCCTCCGATCTCCCTCCTTCCGACCTCACTACCTCACCCCGATCTCCGTCATTGCCTCATTCCGATCTGCGTCTAGGATGCCGAGAGTCGTCCTCAACGCCGATCCTCCTCCTCGACGCCGATCGTCCTCTCCGCGACGCCGATCCTCCTTCGTCGTTCAAACAGATTTTTGTATGTGTATGTTACATGTGTTTAGACAGTATGTATATATATAGATTTTTTATTTTTATTACACAGGTATAAATATATACACAGTATGGTGTTGTATATAGATTTGTACATGTATGGTGTTGAAACAGATTTTTTTATGTATGGTGTTGAAACAGATTTTTCTCTGTATATGTATTACACAGCATGTGTTGAAACAGATTTTTTTTTTTTTTTTTTGGAAGGAAAAAATATAAAACAAAGGCATACATACGCATTAGACATGTGTAACTCACATCCCATTTGTTTGGATGAAAAAATTAACAATTGCACATTAATTCAAAATCACGGGAGAGGTATTTGTTTATATTCAAATTAAATGGAGTAAAGTGCTCCACTTTCTAAATCAAGGATCGGGGACGGGGAGGGTAATCCCCGGCCCCGCCCCGCCCCGTTGCCATTCCTAAATAAGAAGGGACTTTCTTCCTCAATTGCAATTCAGCCAATATTTAGAACGAATGAAGGAAGGGTGTGGGTTACAGGATTTTAGAAACCACACCCACGGTATGCATGCCTGAAAACAAGTGGCATTGGCATTTAGGAATGAAGATGACTTAGTAGTAGCAGATTGGGTTTCAATTGGATTAGATGAAGAACTAACCAAAATAAAAATCCAACCAAATGGGAAGTGGTGAAGAAAAAAGGGAGAGATGATGGGTAAGGTTTAACGACAGTGATAAATAAAGAGCCAGAGACGCAGTGTTTCACCCCATCAACATCTAATGCTTTTGATGTCCTTGAATCATGTGATATGGGAGAGTTGGGAAATGGAGAATTAAATCAAGAGTTCTTGTGTCAAATAAAGAGCCTACAAAGTAGAGGGGGTCCATCTCCAAGTGATCCCATTAATGAGGAGACTACAAAAAAGGATAACAGAAGAAAACTCAAAGCGAAACTTCATTACTTGAAGAGTGCTAGAGAGAAATTTTGAATCCTTTGTTGTGTTTAGTGTTTTTGTCGTCTATAGGCTTAGTTTGTTTCTTTTGAGGGAGTAGTTTAGATTATGCTGAAGTTTGGCATGTTTAAAAAAAAATAAAAAGATAAAAATTATTTAAAAAGAAAAAAAGTTATCATTATTTATCAAAAAAAATATTAAAAAATTAATGTAACACACAAAATTACAAGACAGATCTGACTGGTTCAAATCTGTGGCTGCATGGTTTAAGAAAAATTGTACAGTTGGGGTGCAATTTTAATACACTGTTGTTCGGCCCGTGGGGGCCATCACGGGTCTCATTTTGATAATCTGAACCGTCAATGTGTAGAACACGTCGATTACTACATGTCTATAAAAAATCACATTGATCGAATATCGCTGATCAGTTTTGTATAAAATAGATGATGTTATAGTTAACGGTTAAAAAAAAACTAATCTGATCAGATAGCTATCGATATTCAATCACCGTGATTTTTTACAAACATATAATACTCGACGAGTTCTACATATTGAACGATTCAGATTATCAAAACGGGACCCATGATGGCCCACATGGGCCGAACAACACCGTCCAGTGCAATGCTCGAAAAGTAGCCAATCATTTTTTAGCATCAATTCAACTGCACAGATAGTACGGCGGTACAACTCACACTCCTAATCTTCTTCTACATACTAATTTGTACAATTTTTTAATACACATTTTTCCATAAAAAGCCAAAAAGTTAACACAAACATCCATATTTTTTTCCTCACCTTTTTAGTCCAAAAAGACAAAAAGTGCACTTATTTAGGATATCCCAAACAACCTCTTATATTATATTTATTTTAATTCACGGGAGAAATTAGTGTAGTATATCCATGAAATAATGTACAACTGATCAAAGTAAAGGGAAGCTTTGGCAACAATTAAGCACGTCCACATACATTTCTATCTGATCTCACTTGGTTGTAATATCCGGAATGACAAAAAATCTGTATCCCTTGATTCATTAACTTCACCTTATAGAGAGTTGCCTCCTTAACTTTCCACCACACAAATTAAATCAGAAATCTCTCTCTCTCTCTCTCTCTCACACACACACACACACACACATCTCTGTGTGAGAATGTGCTTGGAAAAGTAGTGAGTGAAAATCATGAATAGACGGCTACTCCTAGCAATCAATCATGCCAGAACCAGAACCATATCTGCGGTGCTACTTTTCTTCCTGTTCCTCATAGCGCACCCCAGCATCAGTCTGGGTAACTGAGCAAAGCTCACAACATATATTTCTCTTCAGTACTTGATTAACATTTTAACATATATATAGGTTGCCCATGCAGATGCAGGGGATTTGGAGGAGATGCCAATTAACCCACCACCAGCGCCTCCTGCTGAACTCATCGGAGTCGGAGTTAAATCAACAATATTGCAGCCCATGGTGGTGAAGGGAGGCCCAACTGATTATAGGACGGCAGTTGAACTTGTGTTATCGTTAGCCAACAACAGTATTACTCAGGGCCAGAGGCGGAGGATGGCAGCCTTCCAGCTGTGCTTGGCATGCAAGTGCTGCGTAGCCAGTGCTGTAGATCCCAACACCTGTGTCACAATGCCTTGCTGCTTTGGCATTGATTGCCAGCTTCCTAACAAGCCCTTTGGGGTTTGCGCTTTTGTACCCAAGACCTGCAACTGTATCTCTTGTTCCATTGTCTAAGTCCAAGGCTTAAGTCTAAGTCTAACAACTGCCTCTCTCTCTCTCTCTCTCCCCTTGCCCTTTAAAAATACCAACATATATAAGGCTGCACTTGCTATAACCTACTGCACACAATCTCTTCCTTAATTCCCATCCCTAGGAATACTTCAAAATTCAATTCTGTTATTAATATTTGCAGATTCCATGGCATTGGGAGGGGACCATTATGTATCTTCTTCATAGCTTCATTCATATATATTTGCATAGAAATATAGATATAGTAGAGATATAATTGTTCACACAAAACTGAATTGTTCTAGTACTGTCAAATATAGTATCATCTTGTAGATAATTATTACTTGATGGATATATCTAATAAACATGAATATTTGGGCCTGCAACTCTCTTGTCCCTTTTACGAGCATCTTTTGCATGTCTACTTGCATCATTTACATTACATTGCAACTTTATCTCTTTATCTTTTCTCAACTTCAGTACACACACCTAAATATGTGCATGCAGAAGAACAAAGGCAAGACAATAATTATGAAGCTAACATAAAAAGGCTGTCTATCATACTGTCTGCTAACCTTCCAGTATCATGAACATGCTTCTTTGTTTTTTTTTATTAGAATGCAGAAGTTGTTTGTGATCTCGTACTCGATTCCAAGAAAGGAGTCCAACGAATACAAATAGAATACAGATATTTGCTCCATAACTAGGCCTATTCTTCAAAATTGGGTCTCAAACATGTCACACCCACCCTATTGAGAAATCTATATGTATCATGCTAAGTAAGTAGTATAATAAATCCATTCATCTCAGTAAAACTAATGCAATAGGCACTCAAAAGACTGCCCATGAATGGGCATTACACCATACCTTCTTCCAGCATCAGTTAATCACCAGTGACATCCTTGTTATCCTCGTAATACCTTCTGTCGCTTTCTGCCTTGCTTTCATAGCGTTTCTGAATGAAAAAGGAAAACGCAGTTCAGTTAGATTCGATCCATGTATATATATATATACACAGATATGCCAAAGTAAAAGAAAAACAGATCTGATCGAACACTGAAATCTACTCCCAAACTCTGGATCATTGCACATTATGTAATATACGGATATCAGATCACCAAATGTGGATCCACTGTCCACAACACTTAGATCTATTCAAATAATGTGTAGCTATGAGGAGAATGTTATGATAAGAGAGTGGTATTACAAGATAAGATATGATACCAAAAAAATAAAAATGAATACATTCAGGAAACTTAGAAGCATTAGCCAGTGGCATGGCATCAATCAAAGATCAAAGGAGAGAAAAATGTCTGAGAAGATATGGCCATGTACAACATAGATCAATTACCACATGTACAAAAGAGGAGTGAAGATGGGCTTTTAACAAAGGCAGACTCAACTCAAGTGCAATGATCAATGGAACTGGGAAAACACACACATCTGTGTTGCCGAGTTAACAAATGCAAGCAATTTTATCCAGCATTAAATTAAAAAAAAAAAATGAAAACGAAAATGAATAATGGCAAGGGTACAAAAAGAGGAACAAATTAATCAATCAAATAGATAGCTAGATAGATAGTAGGAATTCGGATTTGTTAGAGGTACATTTCAAAATATAAAATCTGATGATACGAAACGAATTGAAGAAATAAATGTTTCGAGAGAGAGAGAGAGAAGGCGTACGGGAGGGCCTCTGTTTGTTAGGCAATAGTAAATTGGGGATCGCTGAGGACGCCAACGACCAATTGGGCAGTAGTGCAATGCATCATGTCGAAGCAGCCATCCATGTATATAATACCCGTACGCATCATCATCATCATCTTCTTCTTCTTCTTCCTCCTCCTCCTCCTCCTCCTCCTAGCCCCCAGAGGGCGGAGACCCCTAGAACCCTTCCCCCTCCCCAGGGCCGGCCCTGAGTTGTTAGGCGTAAGGCAAATTTTTTAAATTGGGCCTTCATATATCATTTTCCCACCAAAAAAAAAAAAAAAAATTTGTTTGAATAAATTAAAAAGGATAAAATTTATTTTTATTGCATTACAATTTAACAAAATTTATTTTTTAGTTTATCAATGCTATAATAACTAAAATTAATTAGGGGTAAGAATGAGAATTTTCAACACAACTCAAGGGTTGATTATTTTTCAACATGAATCCAAGTATAAAACGATTCAATGACATAAATTATTAATTATATATTTTAATGTTCACTGAGGGATGCTATGACAATTTTTTTTAATCTTTTATTTAACTCCATCTAATTGAATAAAAAATATGTAAAATAATAATTAAGGCTAATATCTTTTTTTCATTTAAGATGCGTATTTTTTTTGTTATCTATTTTAGAGTCAATCTAGTAAAAAATATATAGTAATAAGGTACAAAATTTTAATTAGAAAAATACAATTGAATTAAAATCAAACATTATATGAATAATTTCATTTAGTAGAAATAAATTTTATAAAATTCAACTAATGAGAAAAATTTTAATTTCTCCACACACTTGTTAAGTTATTTTTAATCAAAAGTTAAAGTTTTTACATTAAACATCAATTAGATACGAAACAAAATAACAACATACGACAACATGAAAATAAATAAATTGAACTAATATTAAAATAATTATGAAATAATACGACACAATATGCTCTCCTAGTTAAAGATCCTAAATTTGTTTAAAATTACAGACCAAAAACGATAGTTTTAATCGCCTCACCTCATGACCAACCCTGTCACACCTCTATCCATCCAATCAACCAAGTCTTCACATAACATAATCAATCTCCAATTCAAGCATATTTCCGACTAACCACTGCTCGCCCCTCCCTCCCAACCAATGGCAATGGGAATACGAATTTAAATCACTCAACAAACCCACCCTTGATCTTGTTGGAACAATCTTCTGTGTAAATAAAATAAATTGAAACTAAATCAAACAAAATAAAATAAAAAGTTACAGCATTTATTTTATCGAACCAAATGAAAAATAAAAGACCAAGTCGAGTGTGTGACACTCTGTCCTTAAGACAGATTCGCCTCGCTACGGTGCTTACGGTTGAGTGGCGTCTATCTCCCAGAATACAATAATCTTCACAAATTTGTAGTAGCACTCCAAACAAATTTGTACGGCGAACTGAACCTGTGTTCTATACTCTCTTTGATTTTTCCTAAAACTAGAATGAAGAATAATGCACTAAATAAAATCTGGACAGCAAAAGCATAAATTGCAGACTGATTTTTTCGGATGCTTAAATTGCTGGAATCATGGCTGTATTTATAGACAATAAATCTGACCTGAACAGCTGCTTTGAGGAAATGAACAGGTGTGATACTGTTTTGAACAGATTTGATTCAAAATTCAAACAGTTCTACAACTGTTTCAACAGACTGGCAGTTTGGAAACTGTCCAGACTTGAGCCTGTAACTGCCTGGGTAGTTTAGAAATAAATCTGTCCGAAAGTTCAAACAGTTTGGACTGTTATATTTGGGATTAGAAATGGACAGAAAATCAATTTAGTTTTTTGGCTCAAAAATTGAATTTTATTTAATTAAAAATTCAAATAAATTTTGTATAAAAAATTAATATTAGAACCGACCCACAACTGCGCTTGGCATGGCTAGGCCAGACGGACGGCAGCGGCGGCGCGCGCGCACGCATGTGGTGGTTTGGATTAAGGTTCACTTTGTCCATAACTCCTCCCTTCTACAAACTTGGGGTGCCCCTTGGGACCCAACCCAAGTGTTGTAGTCTAGAGCTTATATACACAAAAAAGCTCTCTTAAAATTTCAATGTGGGACAACCCATTTCAAGGAAACCCACATTTACTTCCTTAAATTTCCTATTCCACGAACCCGAAAATGACGTCAACTTCCCATTCACTCATAAATGGTTTTGACGAACCGTCTTCACCGTATGACTTGCCACGCGGCAAGGAACACGTCACCTCTTCGGACTCGTCCCAAAAGATGTTCGGGACCCACTCAATTTTGGGCTCAAAGATGGCCCAAAATAAGCCATATAAAACCCAATTTTCCAACAGATCTTTCTTTTCCTAGAAAATGCACTTCATTTATTTTGAACTTTCAATAAATGAGTGATGCTAGGTAACCACCAATCTAGCCATCTCTAAATGGTGCACTAATAATTAGCCACAGTGAATGATGTACGATGACGTAAAATAAAATAATATTTTTTATAGATGATGTGAAATTTTTTTAATAATATTTATAATTAAAATAGAAAACACTGATTATTTATAAAATTATTTTAAGATTTTGCTTTTTCATGCCCACATTATTTTGTTTGTTGCAAATACTTTTCAAGTCTTTCAACGAGTAGAAAGTGTAATCTCTTTGTATCACTACTCTCAGACTTTCAAAAAATTAAAAGATAGTAAACAAAGCATATATGGAAATGAAAAACTTTTATCGAATACTTGAAAAATTACAGAGATTACAAGAAAGATAAAAAGATTGCTCGCTTATATGATTCTACTTCTACAAAATGCAGCCACACCCTTTTATAGATAAATAGTGGACTTCAACTTCGGAATTGAAATGCATAAAATTAAAAGATAATGTTCTTGTAACAAGAATATAAACTTTTTACATTCTGATTTATTGAAACTAATAACGTAGTAGTGTTATCTCCACCACTTTGGTTTTATTTAGTTACTCACTTATCTTCATTCACCATATGATCTACTTTGTTGTGTCTGCTTGGTTGTATACGTTATGTGAGCTATCTTTTGGCTTCTTCTTTCTTGACTTCTTCTATCATATGAGCCTTTTTTAGCTTTGTTTTTCATGTGAGTATTCTGAAGGATACTTGCATTTTTTGGCTTCATTTGTCACGTGAACTTCTGCCTATTTTTCAGTAATGCAGAGATCTATGTCTTGCATTAATTCATAGTGAATTTAGGTTCTCCTTTTGATTTTGTAGAGTCATTACAAGAAATCTAGACTATTATGACAAAATTTGGTGACGAAATTTTTTTTTTGTCTTAAAATTTAACCCAAAGATGACGAAATATTAATTTTGTCATTTGTTTTAATTTTTCTCAAAAGTATAGGAGACAAAAACAAAATTCCGTCTGCAAAAATGAGGTGTCAATTTCATTTGCATTTGCGCGAATTATTTTAACTCATTAGAGACGAACATGTTTGTCACAAAATAATTTTTTTTTTTGTGACGAACGTAATTCGTCGCCAATAAATTCCATACTTATTAAACGATGTCATTGCATATTTCCATTTATTAGGCGACAAATATATTTTTGTCTGGGAAGGATAAGTTATGGAAGACGAAAATATTTCGTCACCAATAAACACTGTAATAACCCGACCCTCATATGTGATTCTGATATATTTTTAGTCTCTTATTCTGTGCTTTCAAAATGCTTAAGGTGAAAACTTCCTGAGAAATTAAGTTTACGCACATATATCTTATGAATTAAACCTGTATCTGTTTGGTAAGGAAAGTATCTGTCATAATTAGAATGTTAAATCAGAAATTGAGGGCCTTAGAGGCTTGGTAATCCGAAACTGATTTTATATTTGGAATCGGCATAATTTTTAGGTAATAATAAGCAAGTTCGTAGAAATTTGATTTGGGATGATTAAAATGGTTGATTTTTGTTTTACTCACCTTATATATATATATATACATAGTTATGCCCAACATTGACTTAGAAGCTTCAATTGAAAAATAGCTCATGAGAGAAAGATTAGGGGAGAGAAGAGTTGAAAGGTAGTAGGAGAAAAGCATCAAGAAGGTTGGGAAAGCTTAAGGTATGTAGATGTTTATCTTAATTGATTCCTACAACTCTTTTTTCCTAATTTGTGTGAGATATCCTCATAATCATGTCACTTAAGGGTTGGATTGTGGTGCTATGTGTGTGTAAGAAGGAATTGGCAAGATAACCTTACTTTTGAATGTTTTGACTCAATTTCAAGTATTTATAAGAAGCTACACTCTATTCCTTCAATTGACTTGCTTGAACTTAATTATGTGGCAAGGCTTTGTGTATATGTGTCTATATGTAGAAATCTCATGAGAGTGAGTGTGTTGATGAATTTAAGATTAATGATCTAACTTATACTCAATTGATGTATGTATTTTGATCCCTATTCACATGAATTTGGGACCTTATACTAGATTTTTATTATTAGGTTTGAGGCTCTAAACATACCTACAAAAAAATGAAATTTTGAAGGAATTTTTGGACTGTTTTGAGCAGAATCGCCGCACGTGCGGGTGTCATGGCCGCACGTGCGGGAACCCCAGCCGCATGTGCGGGGAATGAGGAATTTTGGGCATTCAACTACTGTCTAAAAAGCACGTGCGGGCTTCACTGCCGCACGTGCGGGAGTCTATTCCTTCAATTGACTTGCTTGAATTTAATTATGTGGCAAGGCTTTGTGTATATGTGTCTATATGTAGAAATCTCATGAGAGTGAGTGTGTTGATGAATTTAAGATTAATGATCTAACTTATACTCAATTGATGTATGTATTTTGATCCCTATTCACATGAATTTGGGACCTTATACTAGATTTTTATTATTAGGTTTGAGGCTCTAAACATACCTACAAAAAAATGAAATTTTGAAGGAATTTTCAGACTGTTTTGAGCAGAATCGCCGCACGTGTGGGGGTCATGGCTGCACGTGCGAGAACCCCAGCCGCACGTACGGGAGTCATGGCCGCACGTGCGGGGAATGAGGAATTTTGGGCATTCAACTACTGTCTAAAAAGCATGTGCGGGCTTCACTGCCGCATGTGCGGGAGTCCTTGCCGCACGTGCGGGGCTCACAGCCGCACGTACGGCCCAAGCTGGAAAACACGGGTTGCTCTATTTTACATGCTGGATCCTCTAATGTTGTCGAAAT